GTTGTGATTTTATATTCTATTCAATTCTTAGCCAGCTGGGAATTTATATTTCTGATACTTTAAGACTTTTATGATGGTTCTGGAGGTCTGGGTCTCCTTGGGCCCGCATCCCCACAGTGGTGGAGAACTAGCCAAAGCGAACCCCAGCTTCCTGGGCAAGGGAGAGGAGCCAAGGAGAGCAGGAGCAGAAGAAGGAGAATTCTCTGTGCTCTATGATTTTGTCTGTCCTCACACAGAGTGGGGGTGGTCGTTGGTCACACCTCTGTGACTTGCCATGTGACTTGCCTGTGGAGGCATTGGCTGAAACGGGGGTTGTTGCAGAGATTTCACAGCATGTCAAGATGAAATATAGACACTGGTTCCCAATGTCCAAAAAGTATGATCATGGCATATGGCACAACACTACTATGAGAAAAAGCAGAGAGAGCAGAATGTTGAACTAACAGATTCTATGGAGTGGGAGAATAGAGATAGAATGAAGAAAAGGGGTCCCTATGTCCTCCAGCAGTCTAAACCTATAGCAGCATGTGCTAATGTGTGTTTAGCACAGAGACAGAAGTGAAAATAATCCACACAAATCTGCTCACCCTGCCTAGTCGGAGCCTCTCCATACGCAGTCAGCGTGACATGGAAAAAAAAAAAAATCAGATCGGAGATTAAAAAGTCGTACACAGCTGGTGTGTTCAGCCCTTTATACGTCGCCTGGAGCTGCCAACAGCCAAACACTGTGTGATGCTGACGCTTATTGATCTTCCACAGGTAGCAACGCCACATGGGTGTCAATTAAATCACAATTTCAGATCCACTTTTATAAGAACAAACCTGAAAAACAACAAACTAGATCAAGATTTTAAACTTTATTTTTCATATATGTGGAAAAAGAGCACAATCGAATGCTAGAGCATAAAAACGATAGAAACATGAGCTAACTGCTGCAAGTGATCGGGTGCAGGGAACAGATTACGCTGTATAACGCGTTTGCTTTTAACTGTTATTATAAATCTTTAAACCTGTGATGATCCAAACAGTCTTTCTTCTGGAGACGCATTAAAAATGTCCTGGATCAAGTTCAGAATATTAACTAGGCGCCTCAGGGTGGGTGGCTTTGGTTCTCTTCTTGCCTGCAGCCATAAATATCCTCCATAAATACGTGTCACCTGCTCAAAGGTCATTAGGCTGTTTTCCAAGATACATGGAAATAAAGGAGAAGTCAGGATAAAACAGAATATCTTCAACTAATGAGACTATCTGCAACGACCCCAAACTGCCTCCAGCAAAGAAACCTCATCTGGGTTTTTACTTTGGAATAATAAATTCTCATGATATTATTTAATTTGCATTTCCAAGTTGTTTGATGACAGGTTTCCTCCACAGTTGTAACCAGACTTTTACAGAAACTATTAAGCTGGCTTCCTTCCTTTCCCATCTCTGCCTGATGGCGTCTGTTCAACTCCTGTTCTTAGATTAGGGCTGCAACTATCGATTATTTTGCTTATTGATTAATCTGTCGTTTATTTTTTCGATTAATAGATTAATAATCAGAAAGCAAATCTTCCTTTAAGATTTTTACAAAATTAAACCAGGTGAAACAAAACCTTTCCACTTGAGGAGTTCTGGATAGAGCAGATTAACAGACGAAATATGTATATTTTTTTTAGCTTAAATGCAAAAAGTTAATATATTTATTTAAAATCTTGATATAGTTCCTGCTCTAAGTGGGTCGCTCTGTCAGCTAAAGGTACGTTTTAGAGTCTCTTTACTCCATTTAATCGCTTACTAGATTATTACTCCATTAATCGA